TCCACGTCCTACGGAGGCACCCGGACGCCCGACAGCAGCTCCACGGATGTATCTCGACCTTCCGACCTGCGGACCGGACCAGCTACTCGAGCTGGGTCGGGCTTGACCCCATCATTAGATCCCAGCTCACGTCCTCTTGCCAGCCGTCCGGCTAACAGGGACCGGATACCTCCGCCTCCGCCCAAGAGTCATCATGGAAAACGGATCGCCCCTAGCCCTGGCGTCACACCCTCGCTCACCCAGACCACCCCTGGCAAGGCGACCAACCGCTTCTCTTTCCATGGCTCCCCATCTGAGCCATCCTACTCCCCCCGGCCACCTCAATCGGGGTCCGACTATTTCTCCGCTAAGCCCAAAGACGAGCCGCCGTCGACCGAGCAGTCGACAGAGTCCCTCCGGCGGAGTCAATCGCAGCATAAGCGGCCCCCAACTCCGCCGCTGAGTCGACGGCACAGTCAGATGAGACGGTCGAAGACCACCATGTCCAAAGTCAACCCATTACGGTTATCCATCCATGTAGCACAGGCCTCGAGCGCGGCATCGTCGTCATCATCGCCGCCACCTAGTCCAAGTGGCTGGTCCCTGAACCCAGCACGAACTCGGGAGTCCCGTACGGGCAGTACCCCGTCCGAGGAGCCCATGCATACTGCAACTTCAACCCTGCGTCCGGAGCCCTCTGCAGCCGCACCGGTGTCGCCCACAGAAACGTCACAGTCGACGTCAACAGGATCGTCGACGAAGCGGACCTCACTTTACAACCCCCTCCCCCCGCCTCCGCCGCCGCGACGCTCTCGCGGATCGAGCAACCACAGCATTGACAGCAGTGGCCAGAGTCTCCGATCGGGCAAACCAGCCGACGAGACAACGGCGGCGCCGGCAGCGCCAGCAGCGCAGGACGAGTTCGTCCCGCATCCATCAAACGCCCATGATATCCTGGCCGATTTGAGCCGGTTACAGAAAGAAGTAGACGATTTGCGCGGGCATTACGAGAGCCGAAAGGCCAGCCAATAGGCCGATTAAGAAGTCCAGCCCCGTAGGGTGCTCGACTTAGTTCCTATCCCTATCTCTCTTTCCCTGTCCTTCTGCAGAAAGTGCAAGTATTAAAAGAGGCACAGCCATCGTAGGGAGTGAGAGTGAGTGAGTGAGTGTACATGGACATGTGAACGTGAATGAGTGATGAAGCATAGCGCTTGGTTTTTTGTTCCCCTTTCATTCTTGAGTATAGTATATGTTTCTGTTGGGTCAGTGAGGTCTGCAAATTATGCATGTGTTGTACTATCCCTCAATTAACTCCGAGAGACAACCGGTTGGTCATCTCATTTGCACCGTACTGGACTTGCGTCATGGCCATAGCGAAACAAGAACTTCATCTGCAGGCCTGCACAAAGAATCGATAGGTAGCACGTACTGCTAACTATCCTAGTAGCATCCTTACCACCCAACCCAGAAGTGCTCCCTTATCGCCTCCTATTCAGTTGTACATCAAAGGTATGCACGCATTGGAATGGGTCAATCAATTGACCAGGTAATGGAACCAAATGGCGCATGATACATGGTGGTTGAGACACCTCTCTAGTACTCATGTATACTACTAACTACAGTATAGTGGTCACACGACCAGGTCGCTGGTTTAGTTACGCTTTATAATTACAGTTATTACTAGTACTACTAGTAATGATACCCTTAGTAGATTTCTCTCTATAGAGAATTCGTGCATGCAACCCCTCCAGAGGAGGATGACTCAAAGATGATGAATTGGTTTACTCTTACCACTATCCACAGTAATGAATACCAACAGCAACCACCACCACCACAATATCAATAACCACGAAAAGGTCTAGAAAGAAACAGCAAGACATCAAGGAAACATGCAATAAATCTAGCCCAAATACAGCTCCAACGGTAAATCATGATACATCTGATAATCCAAGTCCACACTCCATTCCAAAACAAAGAACTTGACTAGCGCCACAACAGCCATGGAACTTAACTCTCCACTATCACCACCTTCTCTATTTACTTCTTCCACCGGCTGGTGGGGAACCCTCCAAAACATCGTCTCATCCAACGATATGACAGCCAACCCATCACCATTTCCTCGCCCCTCACACCATACCGCCGCTATATCCGTGACGATGCGCACCGCATCCCCGGAATTGCCGCTCCCGGCTAACACGGCACCCGCGGCTAGGTCGGCCATGCTGCCATTGCGGACGAACTGGGCGTCCCAGCCGCGGGCAATGAGCCGGTCTGCGTGTGTGGAGACGGTGGTGCGGAGGGTATGAGCGAGTCGAGCGCGGTAGTGGTTCATGCGTGGTTTGGCGAAGGCGAGGAGGATGTCGCGGAGGCCGCGGTGGATGGACCAGGAGAGGGAGGTCCAGGGGAGGTAGTCGAGGCAGGTGTTGAGGATGGTGGTTTCGTGGGGTGGGATGTGGAGGGTTACGGAGTGGGTGGTGGTGGTTTGGTGGCGGGGGTTGGATTCAGTGCTGGGAAGGGAGAGAGTAATGGAAGTGGATTCGAGTTCTGATGATATGTCGTAGTCATTATTGTCCTCGGTGATGGGCTTCATCAATAGAAGATCGACTTCATTAACGTTGCCTCCAATCATGTTGTAGAGGTGTCTGCTGCCGTGGGCGCCGCCAAAGCCTCGCACGATGTGTTCGAGAATCCATCTGCCCGATGCTTTGCGGCCGGGGAAGGCGCATTTGAATGGTGGAGAGGACGCAGGGCTTTCGATGACCCCGGCTAGCATGCGCAGACAGCGGTCGACACGTACTTCAAAGGTTGGAGGGTAGACGTCTTTGTTCAGCGTGTGCGAATCGTGGGCCGCGAAGTGGACGTGTGCGGCGTCGCCAATGGGCCATTCGACGTACCACTGTCCGCAGTAGGAGGCGTAGGCAGCTCGATGGCCAGATGCGCCGCTGTGCCGAAACACTGGTCGAGCATTGGTCACGGTGAATAGAGCCATGAGGGTTGCGCGAGAGATGACCGTGCAAGCGGTTAGCTTGTGCTTGGTGAGAGGGCCTCGAGGAAGGCTATCCCAGGTTGGCAGCTGGACGGGCGGTTCTCCGGAGATGGTCACGACGTGCTCAGTCTTGAAGGGGCTTTTGGTAGAGACTAACGACCCGGTCTGGGAGGGCTCCTCGGGGGTGGTAGAAGGTGGATGAATGACGTTGAGCAGGATGGACCATGCAGCCTTACCAGTTGGCTGCGCAAGTGGCCGTCGACTGACATGGACGGTCTTTCTGCCACAGAGCCCGCATGGCAGATTGGCGTTGATTACAGGCCCGACAAGAGGGGGCTTCACGACTCTATACCAAGGAACGTGTGGCTGCCAGAACCGCCAGCGACCCAGGTGCTGTACATCTCGCAGGGTGTGGAAGGGGTCAGTCTGATCGATGATTGTCCCGAACTGGGTGACAATGGAGCCCAGCCCTACCACCGTAACGGCGAGAGAGAGCCAGGTAGCCACCGTTGAAGAAACATCCATTCGGAGGCTTAACCCAGCCAGCAGCCGGGATATGGTGCTCTTGACTGACATCCAAGGCGAGCTCATGATCTCTGGAGGGGCTTGGGATAAGTGAGTTGGAGGGATGGTGAAGGGTTGCTGCGCTAATGCATCTGAGCGCATCGGCCGCCAACCATCGTCCGCTGTCATCGCAGGATCCGAGTTGGCTCTGGCAGAGAACACCATCGATGTTTATCCCCGCAAATAGGATGTATGCTGATTGCGCCTGGTTTCCCTTCACGAGACTCTCTAGTGCCTTGCACTTCATAATAGTGGAACGGAATGCTTCATCTCCCAGCTTTGAGTGCCGCTACGATGCTGCCAAATACCAGTGTGTTGGCAGGCAGAAAATGGCCTTGGGTGGCCTTCGAGAATGAAAGGAGTCGAGTACCAAGGTCTATTTGTAATTTACTATTCCCAAATATGGTCTCGAGATTGTGCGGTTTCCGATATGCGTTCTACTTTCTCCTAGACTGCTCTTGGAGCCTCATTGTCAAGAAAGCTGCTAGAATGGCAGCACATCCTCCCAGTCTCATGACCCAGCTTGTGCTGGTATCCCAAGGCTGCCCTCGTGGCTTCTGTAGCGCCTTGAAGATGACGCTTCCTATAGCACTGGAAATAATCTGGGGGAAGGAAATAGCGACATTATGTAGACCAAGAACGACGCCGGCTTGGTTTGTTGATTCTTGTGCCGTCCTTCTCGGTTCATCGATTTCCTGAACATATGGCAGACTGCTTGTCCCTTCTACTTCGCCGGATCTTGCTCGACGATGTGCCGGTCGCCCAGGGTCTTCCTGTGCGATCTCAGATGCGATCAGGGCATATGGTGCCCACGCCGTGACAGCCCAGGCAATGCCAATTATGCCAGTCATTACCGATGCTTGTCCCGGGGACGAGACAAAGAATGTGCTGAACATGCAGATGGCAAATAGGCAATGAGAGAGAAGCCATGCGCGGCGTAGTGATAAACCGGGAATCCTTAACTTCAAGCGGAAGCTGCTCGAGCTAGTGCTCGCTTCAGCTGCCTCTTGTTTCTCTGAAGGAACCACTAGCATTGGCAGGATGATACTCGCTGCAAAAGACACTAGCGCATTCAAGAGCATAGCCAAAGTACCGATGCGTGTAGCATCCTCCCATACCTTGTTGATCTCATCATCCGATAGATCTTGATGACTTTCGAAAATGGGGTTCACATACAACTGCCCTATATAAGTGGTGGCGTAGAACAAAAACGAAAACCACCCGAACCATGCTGCAGCCTGGATAATATAGACCTGGCGAATACGCAAAGGGAGGCGATGAACCAATTCTTTAATGGACTGAAGCAGGGATACAAACCCTAGACTTGCAGATGAAGATGGCTCCATGCGCGGATCCTTTTCCTTGATATAAGCGCAACCAATGGATAGAGTGATTGCTAGTGAGACACTAGCAATTACGCTGATCCCTTTGAATTGTGTATTCCCGAGGAATGGGATAATCCTCGGCAGATTCAGCCCGCCAATGATGAAGCCAAAGATGTTCCCTGCGCTGACGTGACGGCTTGCCCAGGCATTTGCCGCTTCCTGCTGATGAGCCGGGGCATTATCGACGATGAAAGCCCGGGTAGCTGCTTGGACTGTGACAGGATGTCAGAAGCATGTTTCATAAGAGCCAGTTAGCGTAGATACCATACCAGTGTTAATGGCAAAGTCTTGGCAGTACATTAAGAGCGTTGCAGCCACGATGACTGCAGTTTTGGTTTCAGCTGCCTGAGCATCAAGGCCAAATAGGCCAAATAAGCCGCCGACAAGTTCCCGCACCCAAGCCAGAGCTAGCAGACAGATAGCCAAGAGCACGCCACCAAATACCATGAACGGCTTTCGCTTGCCCCAGGAGATGCGGCAATTGTCACTTCGGATGCCAATGTAAGGCTGCACAAGAGTGCCTGTAAGGGGCCCTGCAATCCAGACAAAGGCAAGCAGCGCTTTGCTCATTCCGAGAGATAGAAGATACGGCTATGGGATAAGCGAAGTTGGATTAGCTACTGAGATTTGTTTGATTTCTTGAGCTTTACAACTTACTGATCCACTGGAATGCTGGATCGAATAGACAATCTGGAGACTAAGAAACGGGTCAACGAGGACAACAGAGCAAGCTCATGCCATTAAGTACTCACCCTCCCATGGCTAGGGTCAGTGTGAAGAGGTAAGCGCTGCTCTTGGATGCCTCATCAGGGGTGGATGGACCTGGCGGTATATGCGAGTCCGGCGGCACCCATCCACCGTGGATGAGAGGCTCCGCCTCGTTGCTGCGCTCTGTCATGAGAACAGGTAGTCGAGCATTTATCAGTCTCTTTGCTAGCAGTAGAAAAGATGTTCAATTTCGAAAGCAGACGAAATCCGATAGGAATGATAGCTGAGAGGGTGAAATCGATAAAGGAGGTTGTTTACTTCCGTCGGGATTGGGGCGGAGTAAAGTAAAGCAGATCCATTAATATTCCCAGGCATCAAGAGGAATCCATGGACGGGACTGACCGCCTGGATCCCGAACAGGCAAAGATCTGTTACAGATACTTTGAAGGGAACGCCATTTTATCGACCTGCAGCACATAGTCTGGTTTCATGATTAATATTAGAACATCCATCTACTCATTGAAAATGTGTCACCTGTTTGGGGGAGCATAACTAGTTACTAAATGCGTGTTAGTAAGCATTATACTGCTCTAGTTACGGCTAGTCAACTTTTGTCCGGAGAGTAAGCACGTAGTAGATAGTTAGTAGTATATTAAGCAGATTAATGTCGACGGGTTTGATAAGAACAGTTATCAATGTAGTCTAAGACGTTTGACTTTTTCGTTTATCGGTTGTGAGGAACACCTTCAGCCGCGGGCCCACTCTTTCGGTAGCAGGGAATATATCTAGATAATATCTATCTACTATGCAGTAGTAATGTTAAAATCTAAAGCTTCGAGATTATTCCATGTCCGATCCCTGACTAATGGTGCCATCAAGATAAGGATGGTGAATATCGCTAAGACGAAGCCGGTTAGGCTTCCGTGATAATGCGAGGCTCCCGATGACCCGAAGTCATCAACCGCGTCCTCATCTCCACGTCCCTCGCTCCATCTTCCCCTCTTTTGACTTCTTGCTGTTCAGTGCGTAACAAGTTCGTCTCCGGAGCTGTAAGCGCGAGTCTCAATTTGTTCTAATCATCCCCAGGGCGGCTGTCCAGCGTGAATCCCGGTGCTACAGTACTCTCAGTCGACGGCTCGGTTCTAAAGCATCTATATTTTCCAGCCATGGCCCACAATACCGGCGTTCCCCGCATAACTGATGCGACGAAAGGTACTGTCTACGTCGATGGCTTCAGAACTCCTTGAGAGCACTCACCGCTGACCTGTCTCAGTATGGACGACTCTAATTACAAATACTGCCTACCTGTCGGGGCTGCTGACCCTAGAGTACTCCCTCCGTAAAGTGGGATCGAAATATCCGCTGATTGCTCTCTACACGGACTCCTTCCCGGCGGAGGGCCATGCTGCTCTCGATGCCCGTGGAATATTGAAGCAGCGTGTTCCCTATCTGCTGCCCTCAGTACCTAAGGACTACGTCAACGATGTACGCTTCTATGACTGCTGGAGCAAGCTTACGCCCTTCTCTCTTGTGGAGTACGAGCGCGTTGTGCAGCTAGACAGTGACATGATGATTCTCCGGAATATGGACGAGTTGATGGAGCTCGAGTTGGACCCTCCAGCACTGGCTGGGACAGGGAACCGTGTTTTTGCCGCCAGTCATGCCTGTGTCTGTAACCCGCTGAAGAAGCCGCACTACCCTCCTGATTGGTATGAACGATCCTTCTTCCATTCCCAATTCCTACGAGGACACGACTTCCCTGATAAGTATTCGAGGACTAATGCACCACGGTCCAGGATTCCATCCAATTGCGCATACACATCCCAGCATGCCACTCCGGATGTCGCGCAGACCGACGGCGCATCACCCACGACCGGGCTGGGTATCCCCAACGGCGGTCTTCAGGTGGTCAACCCGTCCCAAGAAGTCTATGATAAAATTTTGGCACAGCTGTCCTCGTCTGCGACCACTAACTATGAATTTGCCGATCAATCCCTGCTATCGGATGTGTTCTTTGGACGATGGGTGGCGCTGCCATACATCTACAATGCGCTCAAAACCATGCGGTGGGAGGGGATTCATGATGCGATCTGGCGAGACGAGAGCGTCAAGAATATGCACTATCTGCTTAACCCCAAACCGTGGGATGAGAGCGAGGCTGTCCGGTCGGGTCTCGAACCTCGCTCAAGCCGGGAAGCGCCACACAGCTGGTGGTGGGACATTACAGAGGAGAGAGTGAAGGAGGAAAAGGCAAGAGGGGTAGATGACGGTTTCTGAGTTTTTATGTTTATTTTTATTTATTTCCCCATTCTTGAACACGTGAACGCCGCAGCGCTATCACAGCACATTAGACCTGCCTGTCACCATACGAAACCAATGCTACAATAATAGAGTCATTCTTCGAGGGCCCAGATGGAACGGGAATGCAAGCATGGCGTACATTCATTCCGGGTTGTGATGTGAAAGGGTGTGGTGGGAGGCTGCATTCGGAATCTGACCCTTCAGGCTCTCAGGTGTCGAGCCCCGCCGCCGGTGCTGATTGGTCGGTGGAGTGGCCAGCGGCGGGGGTTGACGTCAGGGGCTGCCGGGGCAGAGACTAAACCCAATTGGGACCATCGCAGAGGGCAGTCCAAGCATGAGTCCATCATAGTACTTACTAACTACTAGTCGTAGTACTAGTCACAATCACCTCCAGGGGAAAAAAGGTGCCCTCCGAAACCGCGGGGAACTGGCGATGGCTTTCCGAAACATCCACTAGAAGGCGCCTGGAATGGACCTGCATTGAGGCTGGGAAATAGTATCCAAGAAAAGAAGCATAAAAAGAAGGCGAATCTGCTTCAGGTTGAAGGTTCATCGATGGTGCTGGCCCACCGACAGCCTCACTTTCACTGACCCGTTCATTCATTCATTTACTTCCCTTCCCAGTCCACTGAAACTACTACTGCTACTACTATTACTATCACTTACCCTCCTGTTACTATTTAGTCTACAGTACTACTACTACTACTACCACCACCACCAAGTTGGCTTTGAACTCTCCGCCCTCAAACCTTAAAAAGGCCATTGCGATCTCCCAACTCTTACCACGGATCCTCCCCCCGTCTCTTATTGTTGCACGACTTGGTTCATCATAAGTAGACCAGCCAATTCACTGCCCCGCAGATCCATCCGTTTCTTTTCTCAAACCATCTTATTATTTGCTTCCTCAATCTTTCGCATCCAGATCGACATCCTTACCGCAGCATCTCCTTGAACGATCATACCCTTCCTAAATCGCGTTATCTACCTCTATCGTTTATCGCGTTTTACATTGGGCAGACGCCCCTCCAATTTGTGAATAGTCAACTTCGATCGAGCTTTACCAGAACAAGATGACGACTCCAACTCTGATCAATCTCCCTCCCCCGCCATCTGATCCAGTGACTCCATCGGACATGGGGCCGTAAGTTCCCCAGCTTCTTCATGCTTTCATTCTGATCTTGTCATGCAGCATTCCACCTTCATCTTCATTTCTTCATTTTTTTTTTCAGGCTAGTACCTTTACAAGATCAAGCTGACAAGAAGTTTGCGACGCACTAGAGGGACCCCGAACTCCGGTACGACTTCGTTGTCGGCCTTGTCAACAACCGCCATCAAGGATGGCCATCAGGGTCAGCCTCATCCTCACGGTCGTCACGCCCACCACTCCCATTCCGCATCCGCTACATCCACCACCACGCTGGAAGCAGAACGCGCCGACCGGATCTCGCGTTTAGCAGGCCTGGAACGAGTGGCTACGGCACGGGCGGGTGGCAATCCACAGCCTACGGGCATGGTGGCAGGGACTCAATACCCCGGCTACTTTGACAGTGGCTCTGGGATCAAAGAAAGAAGCACGGTAGGTAGTGCCAGTGCGACAGGCAGCGTGGGCGCCCGCACGACCTGGGCCAGTGGCAGTGATGCGTTCGATGCAGACCGAATGAGTGAGTACCCGGAGGACGGGACGTCCAGTGTTGGCAACTACAGTGATGAAGGAGACGCTAGCCTGGTGGCATTCGGAGAAGGTGCCAGTACTATTAGTGGCCCAACTTCACATCTGCTGCTGAACCGAACGTCATCGGGACATCGACCGAGCTCCTTGGGTAGCCCTGGAGTGAGTCGTGCGAGCGCATTCGCATCCCACAGTCAGCAACACTCTGGGGAGGGCGCGATGCTGCTGTCGACCCAGTCGCCGACCGGATCCGTGACACCGGAACCTACACAAGATGCGCGGATGGTCGATGGGATGACGTTCGACTCGGATGTGATTGACACTACTGTGAGGACCCCGCGATTGGCCACTCCCGCTCAAGGTGGCGAGCCGACTTTTTGAATTAGTAGGTTTGCTTCTTCTGCAAGTAAAAGGGAGACCGACAGACAGACCGATGAACATAAGGTCGGGGTTGCCCAAAGGATAGGATTACGGGCGTTTCCTGCAAAGTGTTTTCCCGCTTCACTAAGTTCATGGGTTTTGGCATTGTAATTGTACGGGAAAAGAATGGGACATAGTTCTTTGCTGGGGAGGAGGGAAGGAGGATATGATCAATATTGGCGAGGGAGGCTTTTTTGTGGGCTCTAGGTCAATTTACGTCTTTCTCTATTACGAGAGAGAGAGAGAGAGAGAGAGAGAGATCGGGTTATCTGCAACAAATATCTACTTGTAGAATAGTTAGCTAGCAGCGAGTCATTTCTTACCATTTCTTCCAGGTACTTAGTTTGTGAAGCAATTGAAAGTGCCCGCCAAACAGTCTTGAGAAATACTGCATAGTAAGGAACTAGGCTGGGGAGTTGATTAGGATTAGATTAATCTAAGCATTACGGGTCCAACGAGGAGGATCTCCATCCCGACCGGAGCAGGACCAGATTGACTCCAACAGGCGAATCGGGGCGAATCTTCTTTTTCCTCACAGTTGCCAAAGTCTAGACCCCCCGGGAGATGTCTGTGGTCCCTCTGCCAGTGCTTCCCATGTATGGTGGGAAGCATAGCATGCTAATTTATTTAGTAAGTAAAATCCAGTAGTGCAAGTACCACAAAAAAAAAAAAAATACTTGGTAGATGGGAAATGACTGGAGGCAAAAAAAACGAGCAACAATTCAACTGGAACTGTGGTGAACTGGGGCCGAGATCGCCCAATGGGAGGGGAGGCTCCATCGCGGGTCCCCTTCAGCCTTTCACTTGTCTGGCTTCTCTCTCGGCGCCTCTTCTTCCTGCTTCCTGCTTCCTCTTCTCTTCTCTCTCTCCCTCTCTCTTCCTCTCTTCTTCTTGTCACCTTCCCCACCCTTTCCAACTTCCTTTCCCCCCTCCTCCTCCCTCCAACCCCGACTGTCTTCCTGTCCCTGTCATTGCTGGCATTGACTTGTCAAGCATCGAGAATTCCCCTTTTGGACCGGAGACTCGTACTGAGGTATTCGTTCAATCCCGCCAAGCTTCGCTGCCATCCACTTTTGAGTCTTTGTGTGTGTTTGTGTGTTTCGCGGCACTCCCAGACCACAACTTCTCGCCACGCTTCAACCTCCAACAGCCATATCTTTTAACCCTCGTCCACTCTCGATCTATCTTTCGTATTCGTTATCACTACACCCCGGTAGTAAAATTCTCGTTCAGTCTTCCCACTGGATTACTTCCGAAGACTACCCGTGCAATTTTTCTGCTGCCCTGTTACACACTACCTAAGTGGCGGGGAACGTTTCTCACCTTCTACCACTGAGATCCTGGGCTTTGTGATTTTTCCTGGTCCGTCGCATTAGCATCGTCTGCGCGCGCGCCTCTAGCTGCTTCCGTGGCTTTTGTGAATACGTGTTTCGTCCCACCAGAGTGAAACGTTGAGAGACATTTCGAAATGGCAGCTCCCACCCAGCTTGCTTGTGAGTCTACCTGCTGTTCTATTCCTTTCCCTTTCTACAATACAGGACGGGTGAAGAAACAATCTCTCTTTTTCGGATTTTTCTGCTGTTCAAGGGCAAGTCTAACTAGCTGTAGACCGTACGGTCAAGGGCATTGGCATCTTGGATGCGGCCCCAGTTTATGAACCTTTGTCGGGGTTCGAAAGGTATGTAGAGCCCAATTCGATCGATCTTTGTCTACTTGAGTAGCTCGCTAATCCTTCTAATCTTCTGTTTTTTGCAGACCCGAAGGAAACATTCGCTGTAGCGCTTACTCTCCCTGCGGCCGGTATTTCGCATGGGCATCCCCAGAGAAGTACGTCTCTCGACCCTCACTGAAACCGCAAAAGAAGAAACGGAAACTTACAGGTTGTCTACTAGGGTCACCATCATCGATCCTTCTGTCGGACATGTGGTCTCGACCATCGCTGCCGATAACGTTTTCGAGCTGGGATTCTCGCCCCTCGGAACCTACCTGATCACCTGGCAACGCCCTTCCAAGGATGCCAATGGCGATGCGGTCAAGAACCTGAAGGTCTGGCAGGTCGTGCAGTCGTCCGAGAACGGTGACGTGCATACGCCTGTGGGCAACTTCGTCCAGAAGTCGCAGACCGGCTGGAACCTTCAATACACCTCCGACGAGCGTTACTGTGCCCGGGTCGTCACCAACGAAGTCCAGTTCTACCAGAGCGAGAACCTGTCTCAGGTCTGGAACAAGTTGCGTGTGGAGGGGGTTGCGGACTTTGCGGTCGCTCCTGGCAAGAACCACTCTGTGGCTGTCTTCATTCCTGAGCGCAAGGTACGTGTGGTGCACTTGTTCACAAATCCGATAAGAGTATCATAATTTCAAAACTGACTGACTTTCTGCTGCTTAGGGACAACCCGCTGCTGTCAAGGTCTTTTTGGTGCCTCAGTTTGGATCCCCCGTCTCGCAGAAGACCTTCTTCAAGGGCGACAAGGTCCAGCTCAAGTGGAACGAGCAGGGTACCACCGTAATCGTGCTTGCGCAGACGGACGTGGATCGGTCGGGCAAGAGTTACTACGGCGAGACCACCCTCTACCTGCTCAGTGCTGGTGGTGGCTTCGACTCTCGTGTGGACTTGGATAAGGAGGGACCTATTCACGATGTGACCTGGTCTCCTAACTCCAAGGAGTTCGGTGTGGTGTATGGCTACATGCCCGCGAAGACCACCATCTTCAACTTCCGCGGTGTGCCTAAGCACACTTTCGCTTTGGCCCCTCGGAACACCATCCTCTTCTCGCCCCACGGACGGTTCGTGCTGGTGGCTGGTTTCGGTAACTTGGCCGGTCAGATGGACATCTACGATATGGACAAGAACTTCCACAAGATCGCCACCGTCGAAGCCTCCAACGCCAGTGTCTGCAACTGGTCCCCCGACGGCCAGTATATCCTGACGGCCACAACCAGCCCACGTCTCCGAGTCGACAATGGCATCCGTCTCTGGCATGTCAGCGGTGCTTTGATGTACAACGAGGACATGAACGAGCTCTACGATGTGTGCTGGCGCCCCCAGTCGCTGATCCAGCACCCCCTCGGCGATCCGTTCAGCCCGCTTCCGACCCCCCACCCCTCCGCAGTGGCGTACCTGAGCACCAGAAAGGCTCCGGTCAAGCCGGCCGGTGCGTACCGGCCTCCCGGTGCCCGTGGCCAGCTTACCCCTCTCGCCTTCAAGCGCGAGGACCAGGGCGGCGCGGTCTTTATCCGGGATGGCGCCAGTGGCGGTGCTACCGTTCACACCACGAACGGATTTGGCCGGACGCGCAGACGTGAGGTGCCGGGTGCTGAGCCGGCCGAGGAATTCCTTCCTCCGGGAGCCGCTCCTGGAGGTGGAGTTGCTCTGCCCCCCGGTGCCGACCAGCCCGAGAAGCTGTCCAAGTCCGCTGCGCGCAACAAGAAGAAGCGTGAGGCCAGGAAGCAGAAGGATGGTGAGGACGAGCCGAGCCCGGACCGCCGCGGCGAGAAGGGTGACGACCGCAACCGATCCAAGGGCCAGAATGAGCGCAAGAACGGCGGCCAGGCCAATGGTGCTCCGGCATCCAAGGCCAATGCCAATAACAACGCTGCTGCCGCTGCTGCTGCTGCAGCGGCGGCGGCGGCAGCAGCCGATGCGAGCGGTGCTCACTCCGCGCAGGACAAGAAGATCCGTGGACTTTTGAAGAAGATCCGCGCGATCGACGAGCTGAAAATGCGCCTTGCCGGTGGAGAGAAGCTCGAGGATACGCAGATGAAGAAGATCCAGACTGAAGAGTCGGTACGCAAAGAGCTCGAAGGTTTGGGCTACAGTGGATAGAGAGAGGCACCCATATCTTATTGGGTCAAGGATCTGGATTACTACTAAACAGCATTTGAATCAACACCCATTTGGAAATATGCGCACCGGTTTCTGCGCTGTTGGCGTTGCTCGCTTAACACTATTATCATGATTTTTCTTTCCCCTTCTTGGCTGGCTGCCTGTATGAATTGTACATATTGTCCAGTGGCTCTGGCTGGTCTGTTTGCTGTGACGGAGTATTATCTTCTCTGATCTGATGTGGATGGATGTCGACGATATAGCTTTCTGGTGTGTTAGAACTGTGTTCAGCGAGGGTGACATTAGCTATTTTACCCTGTATATCTGTATATACATACACCGAAAGAGTCTAAAGGAAAAATAAAGAGAAGAAGCGAAGAGACAGAAGAACGGTGATTTCTTAGATGGTATCTACGACTTTCCTTTGCATCAGTTTGCGATAGTGGTAACTCGGTAATGTTCCCATGCATCCCAATCATTAGTCTGAGAATACCGTACGCTTCAGGTAGCAGCTTGTAGTAAACAGCTAAATAAATTGAATACAATTTGCATTGTCCATTTATTTTCATTTCAATTGGTAGATCGCCTAATCAATAAATGAATGAGTGTAGTATGGACGCTCCTTACCCCCCCTTAGTATCTCGTCTTCACTAGATATCATTGTATATAAAGGAAATCCTTGACTTCAGTGTGATAATCCATCGTACTAGTAGTAAATGAGACCAAGTAATTGATTGACCTCTATTACCACAGCACACTCAAACATCTACATTCATAATAAATCTAGCTTGCTACAACTTTTTTTTTTTTTTTTTTTTTTTTTTTTTTTTTTTTTCTTTAAAAAAAAAAAAGAAAATGTTCCCACCAAATCAACCCCCCTTATCCCCAACCCCACCCCCAACATCAGCAGTCCTTAGTCCCATCCACTCATATCTGATACTGATGTAGGCAGCTCCGTCCAGATCTGTCCAGATAGGAGATATAAAACCTCCATCTTTGCGAGAACGCATGGACAGAAATACGGACGGATAGATCAGTATCGAGTCACGAGGGAGAGAAAAGGAAAGGAGCAGAGGACTCAGTCCGATGTTTGAAAATGGGGTGGTTTCTGGGCTTGATGGTAAACCCGGTTATGGGGAGGATTGATTGATTGTCCTTTAGAGTTCTAAAGGACAAAAAAATTGGATGACGGGATGGGATGTGATGGTTGATGTCTCGCGACCGATACAGAGCTTATCCCTTCCAACCCGGTCTTTCTCGCACGATAGAGGTCGTGGGAGATGAACGGAGGGAAGGAAGGGATTTCAAGGCATGGACCTCGCCTTGCGCTCCACCTTGCAGTGCGAATTTTGGGTATGGGGTCTACGGGTGGAGGAGGAGAGGAGAGAGGAGGTATGAGAGGTGTGAGTGTGATGGATGGGTATCTCTGTTCTTTGATCTCAGCTTCATCTGTTAGGAACATGTGGGGAGCATATGTGGAAAAGGGAAGGTGGCTGTTCTGCTGTCGACATTGTGTCTGCTTAAGTGAAGACCCGCGCTCGCTTGATGGGACTTCCCATACGGAGTGAGCGATTCGTGCTCGCCATGCCACTAAGGAGTCGGTCCATTCCTTCCACGCCGAGCTGCCCCCTTTGGAGCATCTGCTGGTCTGTTTCCTGAGTGGCGGGCTCGGGGATGTATTCGGTAACGGGTGCTGGTGCTGGCTCAGTCAACCGTGGGGCGAGGATCACAAGTCGATGTTCGGCCGTGAGAAGCATATCAAATGGCTGTGTGCGAGTAGAGCGGGTCGCCGCAGGGAGGTGTCCGATGCCTTTCAGGCGCTCACCCACTAGGGTGATATCTTGGAGGGGAGACACCCGGCAGCGGTTGGATGAATCGAAGGTGCCACTAGCCTTGACAGCGTTGCGCCACAAGGAGAGCAGACTGGGAATGACTGCGCTTTGGTTTCCATGCTGCAGCAAAATCGATTCATCGGGCAGCGCGTCCCTCCAGGAGTTAGTCTGATACACTGAGATCCCTCCACTCAGGGATGGGCTGGCTGTTCCAACGGAGGCGCCTTTGAGCAGCGTGTCTTCGCGCAGACGCTTCGTAGACGGCGTCAAGGGCGCAAATTTGGGCCGTTGTTCGAAGGAAGGTCCGCTTGTCTCAGAACGACTGGCGCCAGGCAGGGGACTCAGAATCCGACCGCTGACGGAAAACGTTGTCAGTGAACCACCTGTTACTCCCTGCACACTGGACTGTCGCTGAAGCGGACCTTTGATGGTCCCGGGGCCAGCCCCTTCCAAATCCCAGACACCCCATTCGCCATCCGACGTGAGGACCAAGATGGCACGCCCTCCAAGCACCCATTCTGCGTGAGTGATGATCTTCCGTCGAGGGAGTCCCGAAGCAGATTGCTCAAAACCGGGGTACAGACTGATCAACCATTTCCCTTCCGTGTCGACGGTCTCAAATTCGCTCTGGGCACCGGACGACCTCCGCGAGGCTTTGAGTGGTTTCGTGGAGAAGCAAGAGTATACCTTGACACAGCCGCTGTGGAACGCAACTAGCAACGTGGAGTGTCGAAGGGCAGGGTAACCCGAGGGATTGAAAGAGATATTCACAGCAGGGGCGGGCAAGTGCCGTCGCTTAGTCTCAATCTCATCATCGCATAAACGATATGCAGTGCCGCGCGCCTTCTCCTCCTCTGCGACCGGAATCCGATGAATGATCAAGAGACCAGACGACTCAGCCGAATGTGTTGCGACGAGGAGGTCCCACCTTCCTGTAGACGAGCGGGATGAACCATGGTTTGAAGATGTATCCTGATCTTGCTGATCAATTTCTTGATAGGTGAAGGCGATGCTAACTCCCCGCGGGATCTCCTGGTGTGATACTCCACCACTAATTGAGATCGTCTGAATGCTGAAGTCGCTTTGCGTAGGGTGAGGGGGCAGCAAAGGCAGAGTTACAATGCGAGTAGAATAGTCTGCGCACACAGCGGCGATGATGATGTCCTTCTTCAAAGCCGGGGGAAATGGATCGAGCGAAGAGCGCGCTGTTTCGGGGAGGACACGAGGCACAGCCAGCTGGAGGACTCTGCTTCCAAGGGGTATATCAAGCTGGCGCAAGACATCGTCGTAAGGGTGGAAGGGGTCCACCTCGGTTTCGTCCTCTTCGAACTGGTAGGTTGGCTCTTCATCTTGCTGAGTCTGCTGGGTCTCCGCCATGCTCTCCTCATCGGAATCAATAATCATGACCGCATCATCATTGGCGTTGCTGGCTTTCTGCGGTTTGTCCACTTTCGGGGCAGAAGGCTTCTCGGTGGAAAAGTGTCTTCCTCCCCTCCAGACTACCTTCAGTCCAGTCTCATAACCGTAAACAACGATCGACGAGCCATTGGGGGCCAGGAGGGGGTAGCCTGTAGCTGCGTGTACACGATGAGGCAGTTGATAGCTAGATGGAGTGTCCCGTAAGCACGATGTTGCTGTTATGGTCTAGAATAGAACACGAATCTACCTTAACTGGAGTCCATCGTCCCTCGGCCGGACTAGAGGTCGAGATGGAAAGGACGGCATTGTTGTGGTGGCGGTTTGCTTGTACGGTCAAGAACAGAGCTCAAAGGGAGACCGACGCCGCCAACAGGGCAGATCGCGTTACCAAGCGTATCGAAAGAGTTACAATTAAGACCACTAGCTGAAGAGAACAAGAGTGATCATGTAGAATAGAAGGGCGGGTGGAAACAGGCAGTTAGTGAGTGGGTGGTGAGGAAGAAGGTGAAAGTGAAGGAAGTTTGGGGAGGCCGCGGAGGAAAAAAGCCGCTGAGTTGAGGATGGAAAGTTGGCCCGCCGCGTCCATCGCGTCTCCAAGCAACAGCCTGCCTTTGCTTCCCCTCACGCCGCAACCACCACGACAACTCCCCAACAACGCCCATTGTCGTCAATCCGTCAAGCGCGCTGACCTGCCTGTTTGATGGTCTAACCTGACAATGGGCATGATATCGCCTCTGGCTCCCACTGCCAGAAATTCTACCGCTACGCCCGACCATATACACCGATAATGGCTACAGTTCGATCCCTCGGATTGCATGAGCCCTCGGCCATCGCATTCCTTGTCGCAGAAGGCCTCTTGCCCCCAGATCCCTCGGAGGAGCTCTACTCATGGACAACAAGCGTTGATCGAGACTCCAACGGCCCGGTCGAAGATGAGATTGTTTGGACAAGAAGCTGTGCGGTTTGGTCACGAGCGGGGGTCATTAAGAGGGTGTTCAGGCTTGATTTAGAAAAGGAGGAAATTAGGCATGCTTTGTTGACGAGATTTGCGGTGGGAAAGATAAAGAGGTCCGAGTCAAGCGTCTCGAAATCCTTAAAGGGCGAGGCAGCGCAGCTAGGCAGTACCTCAGGCCGCAGTCGAGGCTCGCCTGATCATCTTAGTGCTGGACTATCGAAGGGCTCATTGTTGATGCTGGGTCAGAATGGCGAAGGCTCTCGCGATACTAGCGGCACAGACGCGAACAATGCGCGAGCCTTGGTTGTGGTCCTCAAGTCCCAGGCTCACATCTTCTTTCTTGCCGGGAACAGCCATGTTGTGCCCCTACCGTTCGAAGTTGATACCGTGTTTGCGACCCCCAAGGGCCTTCTGATTCAGAGAAAACTACACGAGGAGGAAGCCAACAACTCACCACCGGCCGCGCCCCCGAACTCGTTCGTTTCATCCTTGCCTGACTTCCGTGCATCTCAGTCGCTCGACATACCTTCTGGCAAATCCAAAAGACCATCCTTGACAATTTCCCCAGCCCCCAAACCTGGCCTGAAGCCACGGGCAAGCAAACATGCCGACATGCCCAGAGTGTTCTCTCTTATGGATCCGCACTCGGAAATGGGACTCGTCGTCACCAACCAGTCGTCTCGTTGGCTACAAACTAGTGTCTCGGCCAGACCTTCCGGATTGGATGTCCTTGACCCAGCGGATGCAATTGTCTATGTTTCTCCAAGAGATGAATTGTCAAGCTCTAATCGAGGGCTTTCCATTGGTCCTTTGATCCTTGTGGTGACCGTCAATATCAACACAGGGTTGTACACGATATGGACGGCTCACTACAGACAAGACGAAACTACGCCCTCATCGAAAAAGAAGGAAAGGAGAGACACGGGTGGCACTCGCTCGAAGCGACGCAGTTCACACTTTGGAATGACGACAGGTACAACCACGCCCGCTGGTCGTCCATCGGGTGCTAGAGAAAGCTTTGGTCCAAGAGGTGATGGGTGGAACACGTCTGGGTTGTCTCTTTCGCAATATTCTGTCGAAGGAAAGCCGGATGAAGACGACCTGGCGTCTAAGCTGGGTCAAGACTTTGGGGACATTGGCGTGCCACTCAAGACATCAAGACGAGTGAGCTCTCTCCTTGCACGCGCGGATCTGGCTGCCAGCCAGGATAGGATCACGTTTTCCGACTTAGCCACAGGCAGCCAATCGAGCTCCATGCCACATGGTAATCTTCGGCAATCTCTTGGGGCTGGAAGCACTCGAGGCAGCTTTGGCTTCAATCCCAGGGGTTCTCTTCCACCCGGCAATGGCTCAGTGTACAGCACTACTGGAAGCTTTGTCGATGCGCCAGTCGATAGACTGCTTGAAGAGCTGAACAATGAAAGTCTTTTCGAAGGATTCGAGAACATGGACCTGAACCATGCGGCGTCAGGTCTTCCCGAAGAAGTCTTCCTTTCCAAAGTTGAAAGCTTTTCTTCAAAGTTTTCGGTCTCCTTCCAGACACCGGTCAAGTCAAAGCCGTCAGCTCGGCGCATCAAGATCATGACTTTGTGTCCGTCAGAGTACGGCAATGCACAATCTGGAAATTCCGCGGCTTTGGCGCTTTACTTAGTGGATCAAGAAGCGAAGTCAATGACGGTCGTTAGCCTACGAGCAGACAAGGTTGCGGTTTCCAAGAAGGACGCGGTATTCTCGAAAAAGCCAAAGAGAAGTACGCTATCTGATGAACGATCATTAATTGTTCAAGCCTCCGGAATACAGCACTTTGCAGATGTATGGGACGCCTGCAAGATTGTGGATGGTGGAATCTCACGGATCTTGACCCTAAAGAAGACGGATGGTGGCGAGCAGGTGTTGCAGTTGCAGACTCCATGGAGCAAAGCAACTCCGATTCAAATTCCCCGGAAACTCATGCTGCATGAAGCATACGGCATAAATCTCAATACGTCTGGCAACCGTCGAAGAGAAAGTGGTGTGAAACGACTATTGACTGACTCGCCGATCACCGTAACGGGCTTCGATCATGCTGCAGCCAGAGGAAAGTTCGATGCTATTGACTCCGAAAACCGGAAAGTGAAACTACAGGTCCAAATGGAACCTAGCAATGAGCTGGTGAAACGTGTGCTCAATGTCTGTCGGTTTGCACTATCGGACCAAAAAGCCGGAGACGGGCTTTTGGCTGCCTGGTGGGAGACTATGGCATGGCTTCAGGAGAGAGACACCAGCGAAAATGATCTCGAATGGACAGCCATGGTGGTGATGTTGTTTGCAATGGCGATCCAATTCATTGACAGTGAACAACCCCGGACTCCGGCCAAACCGACCCGCAGAAAGAAGGGGCTGTTGAGGTCAAGCAGTGGAAGCCACGTCGATCTCGAGAGCTGGGAGACCATGTTAGAGCAGGAGTCTGGCTCTGGGGGCGTGGTAGCACCGTGGATGGCCAGTAGCTCGTGGGCCTGGGTGGTTGAGCAAGACGCTGAAGATAGCGAAGTAAGCCACGGCCACCAGGTGCCCTCGAGCCGGTCCACGTGTCGAACGAACACATATCTCCTTCGATGCATTGCTCTGACAAGGGACTTCCTGAACACCTCCCGGGGCACCCTCTCAGTAGGCTCAGGCGGCTATCTGCCCACGGCGTTATCCTTCAACCAGAGCATACGAGGCACCGCACTATGTACTATACTCGTCGCGTTACATCTTTTCCGCGAGGAGCAAAAGCTCTCCGTCTGTGATAGCGAGCAATCGGGCAAGCCTCTGGGTCTCCTAGCTCCAGTCCTGGCCCAACTTGGCGGATGGCTTGGCTGGCAGTCTTGGACATGGGCCGAGGATGCCTATTATGGCATGGAGATGGCTAGTATGGATCGGTGGCAATTCGAAGAGACTCGCATCTCAATGCTCGACCTCCCCGCAGAGCCATTCCCGCCGCCGTCAATCTTTGCTCACCTGGAAGCCGCCTGGCGCCAGCCGTCAGATTCATTTTTCACTCTCCTGAACTTGGTAACGAGCCCGGACAGGCCCCCAAAGAAAGGAAGGTTGTGGAAAGAGTGCTTTACGCTCACTCCCAGAACGCTGGCTCTCGATGGGTTCCTCTCAGAAGTGCATAACCTCGCGGCACCGTTCGACCGGGTCAAGCTTCTCCATCGTTGGGGTTTCACTAGAAGCATCATCGAGAGCTTCCCAGAAGGTGTCAGCGCCCCCCTCTACGAAGCCATCATGCAGTCACAAATGCATGCATCTACGTCCTGGAGCTCAACGCTTCTTGAACTGATCGATCGCGAAGACCTGAGTATTTCCATGGGCAAGAATAAGCCATGGCTTCCGTCGGCCACGTCGTCGCTGCAGCCGGCAGTCTCGCACGATGCCATACGCGATGTGCATCACATTGGTAACTCTGCATTGGATGTGGATGCAACCAACTCGTTCGAAGCTTCCGCGGAGGCAGACCGGTTTTCAGTGACGAGGCTGATCTTCCGTGAGGATAAGCGTTTCATTGACGCCGCTCGGTTGCTGAACCAGTCCAAAGCGCCGGTTGCAGAGTGCATACCTGAGCCAGAATGGACCGACTCGGACCTGCTAGAAGCCCAGAAAGAGGTAGTGCAGCTTGTGACACTGAGGACGCTCTCCATTCCCACGGGTCGCGCCATGTTGACCTTTAGCGGACGACTGCCATTGCTGACGGAGAAACTTCCGATTCCTTCGTTCTCCCTACAGTGTGTCATGAAACCGTCGAATGTGACAATCAGCGCGGACCGGGCCTCGTTTAGCGAGGAAAAAGTGTGTTGGGCGTTCTTCCACAATGGCGTCTCTACTGGCCTTGCTATATCGAAGAGCTCCAAAGGCATTGACACATCTTGGATACTTTTCAACAAGCCTCAGGAGCTTACTAACAGACATGCGGGCTTCTTGCTGGCTCTCGGCCTGAACGGGCATCTTAAATCCTTGGCCAAGTGGGTGGCGTTCAAATATCTCACTCCCAAACATACGATGACATCCATTGGCTTGTTGCTCGGCTTGTCGGCTTCGTATTTAGGCACGATGGACACGCTGATAACCCGACTTCTCTCGGTTCATGTCACCCGGATGCTCCCTCTTGGTGCTGCCGAGCTGAATCTGTCGCCGTTGACACAAACAGCGGGAATCATGGGCATCGGCCTCCTCTACTGCGGATCTCAACATCGACGAATGAGTGAGGTGATGCTGTCAGAGATCGAAAACGTGGAGCAGGAGGAGGGCTCTCACGAGGACCTGCGCGATGAAGGATACCGCCTGGCTGCGGGGCTCGCTCTTGGATTTATCAATCTGGCCAAAGGCAAAGACCTCCGGGGAATGCGCGACATGCACATTGTGGAGAGGCTGTTGGCTGTTGCAGTGGGCACCAAGAACGTGGATCTCGCGCACGTCCTGGACCGGGCCACGGCCGGTGCCACGATTGCCCTGGCGATCATTTTCATGAAGACCAATGACGAGATATTGGCCCAGAAGATTGATATTCCGGACACCACAGTGCGCTTCGACTATGTTCGGCCTGACCTGTTCCTTCTCCGCACTCTTGCCAAACATCTCATCATGTGGGACAGCATCCGTTCTACGGATGACTGGTTCATACAGAGTCTGCCGCCAGTCTACCGCCGTCGGTATCGCCTCACCGGCGTCCGTCGGCTGAAGAGTGACGACATGCCATTTTTCAATATTGTCGCTGGTCTGTGCTTCACCCTGGGTCTCCGCTATGCGGGCTCTGCACAAACCTCCGTGCGTGACCTGTTGCTCGCATATCTGGACCAGTTCATCCGCATCTGCAGACTTCCTGCTGTCAACTATGACGCCAAGTTAGCCCGGAACTCAGTACGACACTGCCAGGATGTCGTGGCCCTTTCCGCTGCCGCTGTCATGGCAGGCACCGGTGATTTGGCACTTTTCCGTCGCTTGCGATCTCTCCATGGCCGCGTAGACGCCGACACTCCGTATGGCAGCCATATGGCGGCGCATATGGCTCTGGGCCTACTGTTCCTGGGAGGTGGCAGCTACACCCTCGGCACCTCCGACCTGGCGATTGCCTCACTCATTTGCTCCTTGTACCCCATCTTCCCTACAACCGTCCTCGACAACAAATGTCATCTACAAGCCTTCCGACATCTCTGGGTCCTCGCCGCAGAGCCTCATTGCCTGGTGCCGCGCGACATCGACACCCGCCGACCCATCTCCATCCCCATCACCATAACCAACCAAGATGGCATCAGCCGCAAGATCACCGCTCCCTGTCTTCTCCCCGACTTCAACAGCCTCACCCGAGTCGAGATTCGCAACGCAGACTACTGGCCCCTGGTCCTGGACTTCTCCAAGGACCCCGGCCTACGCCAGAAGTTCCACCAGGGCGACCAATCCATCTACCTCCGCCGCAAAGCCACCTACAACCCTACCGGCTCGTCGGTCTTCGTCTCAACTCTCTCCGGCCTCAGCGAAGCCCAAGACGTCCTCCCCTCCTCCACCTCCGCCTCCAATCACGGCAAGGGCCTTCCGCCAGCCGCAATGCCCAATCTCGCAACCCTGCTCACCTCCGGCGTCAATCGCACCCCTACCTCCCCAACCCAGAGCATGTGGGAATGGATCTTCAACCTCCCCTCTCTGCGGGGTCTGGACGTCCGCGAAAAGTCCCTCGTCCTTCCTTCCTCCTTCTTCCCCACCACCAATAGTACTAGTCACAGCAACACCGCTGCCCTCTCCTACGCCCCCTGGCTGCGCCAATCCGCCGTGGACAGCAAACTCGTCCTCGAGGCCATCGTCAAGAATACCATCCAGGCGGCGCGTGGCCGCGCTGCTGATCCGGATGAAGTCCGCGATCGTATCTGGCAGTTGCGGTTGTTGTTTAATTGGATTGATGCTTCGTCTTCGTCTTCTCTGTCTTCGGCTGAGGAACGCTTCGCGGAGAGGCAGAGAGAGGAGCAGGAAAGGTCTGAGAATGGGGGTCTATCAAGCCAAGTAGGTGCCTCGGATGGACTTTGGCTAAGGAGGGATTACATTGAGGAGATGAGGTGGAAGATTTGGGGAGTGCAGATTGGGGATTATGATTGATTGATTGAAGGGTGTGTTGATTGATTGATATGTCGCTTACGATATGGCTGGGTGGAGTTTTGTTAGGATCTGAGAGGCTGGTGTTCGATTCATATGTTTTTTTTCCCTGCTTTGCATGTACGCATACATGGTTTGTGGTTTGATGCATGAGAGGGGTGGGAGAAAGTGTGTGATTCTGGAGAGGTGGTGATACCATTACTGTACCGGATGTAGTTTTGTCATGATAATCATTATGAGGATACGTGCATTACTTAGACCTGCAATGATGCATGTTTGATTGTTGATGAATTCTTAAACTTTTATTAATGAAATCGCTAATAAATCAAGATACGGTTGACAATCACTGAGACCGAATCGCTCCCTCCTTCAATACTCCCCGGTCACCTCCACCCCCCATCTGCCATAACCAGACACCCTCGACTGCCCACGCAGTAGCGCTAGCATGTTGTCGACGACTAGTACCACCAGCACCAGCAGTAGTAGCATTCTCCGTTGTCTCCTTCTCTGCGTCACCTTCTTTCTCCTGTCCAGCACGACGGGAAGAACCCGTCCCAGGAGTCGCACCATCCGCTTCAGCCAACATACCTGCCACAACACCCTCCTTCTCCACAACAGACCACAGCCCCTCGACCAGCGGACTCCCCCTTTCTCCGAATTGGCCCTTCCCCAGACGGAACAGAATCCGCCCGAGAACCTGCCACGCGATGCACCGTTGCGCCGGGAACGTCGACTGACTCAGGATGGCCAGTTCGGGAATGGTGTACCCCGCTGCATGGGGGTCTTTGCCGTGATGATGTAGGCCCAGGGTCGTGGGAAGGGAGAGAGAGGTTGATGGGGAGAGTACCGTGCCGAGGAGAGAGAAGCGTAGGTTGGCTGGGTGGATGGCTTCGGCGTTGCTGGCGGGGTGGTAGGCGGACGTGGAGTCCGGGTCTTCGGGGTCTGCGGAGGGGGGTTGTAGCCAGGAGAGGGCGGAGGGGTCGTGTGAGATGTTAGGAAAGTAATGGGTTTGGAGGTCGGAGAGGAATGAGGGTGAGGACGGGTCTAGGTTGGGCATTGGGAAGGCTTGGGATGGAGGCGCAGGGAAGTGTACGCTGCCTGAGGGGGGAAGTTCGGCGGCGGCGTGGAGGTCCGAGGGAATTTGGGTTGGTGGGACGTCATCTTGGGAGGTGTCGTTCTTGGGGGAGGGTGGTTTGGTGGTTGCTGCTGTTTTTGTTGTTGATGCTGGTGGTGAAAGAGGAGCAGGTTCTGCTGCTGCTGCTGCTGCTTCTTTTCCTTTTTTGTTGTCTTGGACTGGTTCAGTAGCGGCGGGTTGTTCGCGGGTAGGTTTGGAGCTGGTAGTGGGGGTGTCGTCGGCGTCGATACGAGCTCGACGAAGGAAGCGCTCAAGTAGAGACGTGTCCATGGTTTCCATCAGTTCCTGGCGCTCATGTTCAATCTGCGCGTCCGACATGGAGGCCAGTTGCCGCGCATTTTCCTGCGCGATGGCCGTTTTCTCATCCTTCGGACCCGGTGCAGAAGTAGAGGCGGATGCAGTTGCAGACGGAGCTGGGTCCCGTCGCTGTTTAAATGTAGAGGGTTTGGCCCGACGGCGATGGGCTGGAAAGCCGGTGGTGGTTGGTTTTGGAGTAGGCGGGGCGGGCGCCGCGGCGGGGGAGCGTTCACGGATTTCGCCGATCATCCCGGGGATGTTGAGGGTCGAGGGACCCTGAGCGCCATCATAGCTGTCCGCTGAAGGGGACTCATCGTCAGAGCCCAGGTCAAGGACGAAACGTTCACCGCGAAAGGCCATGGCGTTGAGAGTGGTGAGGGGTTTGGCGGGGAAGAAAAGCTGCCGAAAGCGTCGGAAATGAAGCCATCCCCGGGAAGCTTGGCTGAGTCAGTATTGAGTCAGCCCGCACAGGGAACACTGCAGCATGACTCAGCTGCGGCTCAAAAGCTAAAATGGGGTACGCTAGTCTCAGATAGGATTAGTGGGTTCACCTGATTGACCACCCCGATTGGGTAAAGCACGTTGAATCAGGTGACCCGATCTGATATCGAAACTGGGACTTTGCGCTGCCCTGATTGTTGTCCACCATCCTGCAGGTACAGAGCCTTGTCTGGTCAAAGTTCTGAGATAAAAATGATCTCATGTCATTTTACTGACGATGAGCAATATTTTGAACCGTCATTCTCGCGGGATGGGGGCGTATCGAGGGGCCAGGAAAGCAGGCAACTGAAGGGAACTAAACGCGATAACGAACCATTGAAACGGCCCAAGAAAGGAACGAGAAGCGCACCCGCCGGAATGGAACCCCGGCCATACAAACACGCTTTCCCCGGTTACTGCTTTCGCCCACGTCGGACCGGCTCTGGAAAAGCATCTTCTTTCTTTATCATCTATAACACTCTTCTGTATGTATATCTAGCAAGGGTATACTTGCTGCTGAAACCCCCCGACAGCGCCCCTTTTCCCCATCTTTTTAGACTGCAGTTTTGTTCTTCTTTTGCAGTTGCTGGCCCGGTGTTTCCCATCTGGCCTGCCTCCCTCTCGGCCTTCCCCTTCTCTCTCTGTTCCTCTCACTCTCACTCTCGCTTCTCTCTCTCCCTTCCCTCTTTCTTCCTTTTCCTTTCCTCCCCCCATCCATTCATCGTCATCCACTTTTCTACTCCCCCCCATCCATCATCTAACTTTCCATCTCCACCACCTTCCTTCAACCTTTCTTCATCTCCATCCATTCGACTTTCAATTCTTTTGTTATCTAATTTTATTGTTCTGAGTACAAGGATTAGATCTCCTTCATCACCAACCACCACCACCACCACCACCACTCTCACCACCCAAGGACGTCAGTCCATCACTCCACTCCCCCCTCTGACCAACCTCGCCCTTTCACTCGATGCTTGACCACCAGCTGTGATTCGTCCCTTCGCGCCCTCCCCTCCCTTCCTCTCCTCTTCACCATGTCCACAGAGCCATCTGTTTTGTCGACTGCAGGTGAACACGAGTCGCGTTCCGCCATCGAATATCCCGCCCGCGAAACTCGTACCCGACGGTCGCGTCGCAGGAAGGAAGACGATCTCGACCTCGAGCGGAAAGAACCCGTCCGAACGCCTAAAACCAGAGAAAAAGAAAAGGAGAAGGAGAAAGAATTGAAGGAAAAGGAAAAAGAGAAGGAGAAGGAGAAGGAGGAAAAGCTGGAGCCCAAACGGGGCAGCCGTCGCCAACGAGAGAAGTCCTCGTCGACATCTACTAACCCGCCCAATTCGGGCCGCGTCTCACTCTCGCAAGAGGCCCAAGTTGGAGGCTGCCACCCCCGACCAAAGTCCCAGTGTCGCGGCGCCTCCTGCCCGTTCACCGAATCCCGCGCCTGCTGCCGCTCCAGAAGGGCCTGCGACCAGTCCTCCTACCACTGCAGTTTCGGCTGCATCTGCAGCTCCGGCCCCAGCCCCGGCTCCAGCTCCAGCTCCAGCTCCAGCTCTAGCCCCGGCCTCGACGCCTGCCCCAAGCACTCCCATAACGAGCCCGCGGAAACAAACACTAGATTCTGAAGTGATGTCTCATGGGACATCGCGTCTCCTGAACCCTCCGTCTTTGCCACCCTCGGCCCATCCAACACCGCCATCCGTGGCCCCTACAACTCTCGTCTCACCTTATCCGGGCCTGATGCCCTCCGCTCCTCCTCCGCGGCCACACTCCCAGCCGCCCGCTCCTCCGCCGCAAAGAACCAGCGGTCAAAATTTCGATCCCATTCGGTCGGCCTTCGATACATCGTCTCCGGCCCCAGCCCCAGCACCGACCCCGACGTTGGCTGCGGCGCCACCTCCGGGGCGCCCCTCCTTTAGTCCCCCGGCCCGCCCTATCTCACCCCGTCCGACATATCGCGCCAGTGCCTCTCCGGCCATTGCTAGTATCATTGATCCGCCTGCTGCCTCGTCGCCGCCCGTCTATGTCCCTCGACCGTATGGCTCTCCGATTCACGGTGCGTCGAGCTACTCTCCATCGCCCGCGGGCGCATCCATCGCTCCCACTCCGCCACAACCGCAACCACAACCACAGCCTCAATCTCAACCCCCACGACCGGTCTCACCATATGCTCATCGATCCCCCTATGCCACACCGGTCCAAGCACCACCCCCGCCGCCGCCTCAGGAATCACGGACATCTGCACCAGAGCCACAACCCCCGTCTGTCCCTCCTCCTTCGGCCTCGGAACCTCATACCCCAGCACCTTCTAATAACCGACCGCCCTCGCCGGGTCCCACGCCCATGGATGTGGAGCCCGAGGCACCTGCTGCGTCGACGGCCCCTAAGGTGACCAAGAAGGAAGCCAAAACCCCCTCAACAGTACCTACTTCGAAGGCGCCGTCACCCAAACCGGCCCGGGCCGCCAAGGAAACGCCTTCGCTACCTCAAGGCTCGGGATTGATCTCCAATGCCCTCTTCGGAGTGGATGGTGGCTCCTCCACGGGCGACTCGAGTAACCGCCAGGTGCCGAGTATCATCCTACACGTCCCTATTCAGGGTCACGGGAATCAGATCATCAACTTCGCCCGTTTAGCGGAGGAGCAATATGGGTTTGCGGCCCTGCATCCTCGCCTCGCTGCGCACAAGGAACGGCTGGCACGGGTAGCTGCGGCTGGAGCGGCCTTGGAGCGCAACGACAAGGCGAGCGGACGTGGTCTGTCTGCGGGAGAGAGTGCAGATGAGGATTTGAGCATGGAGGTCGACCGGGACAGCGAGATGGATGGGGAAGGTGCGACTTCCGCACCAGCCCGCTCGAATGGGCCTGACCCGGCAGATGGGAAGAAGAAGCGTCGTAAGAAGAAAATGGAGGAGTATGATCGAGACGACCCGTTCGTGGATGACAGTGAGTTAGCCTGGCAGGAACAGGCGGCCGCCAGTAAGGACGGGTTCTTTGTTTACAGTGGGCCGCTGGTGCCGGAGGGTGAAAAGGTCCAAGTGGAACGGTAAGCGCCATACCCTTGGGGACATTGAATCCCTTGCTTTTTGTGTTGACTGAGATGCTAATGGTTTATAAATAGGGCCGACGGTACGATCAAGCGTGGTCGCGGCCGTGGACGTGGGAGTCGGGGCCGGGCGCCTCTGACATCCCACCAGGTGCCTTTGGCCGCTGCGGTTCCAATCTCCCAGGAAACCGGTCTTCCCCTTCGGGGCCCCGGCTCACGAGGAGGCAGTACTACTCGTCGCCCGCGCATCAGCAAAGCTGCTCGTCAGCAGGCAGAGCAGGAGAAAGCCAACGCCGCATCGGGGACCCCCCACGGACGCGGTGGAGGTGCTGCCGGTCGTGGCGGTTCGACCAGCAGTCGAGGAGGCAAGCACCCCATGGTCGAGTTGGCGCCGCGTCCAAATATTGCCCCTGCTCCTCCGGGCCCGAGTCCAGTGAGTGGATCAGAGCTTGCGATGAAGTAGGGCTGGTTGCCTATCATCTTCTTTTCTCTCCTCAGTCTCGTCATGAGTGTCCTATGCTGGGATTCAGGGATGCCGGTTCCTGTTCTTTGACGGACTGCTCAGTATGTGCGTGCTTTTGGTATCTACTTTCATTTTTTTTTTCTGTTGGCGTCGTCGGATTCCGGGTTACAGGGGGAATGATGAACGGGCATGAGTAGAAGGGACCATCCAGTCTGATGTTGGGTTGTGTTTGTTGTCGGATGTGCGGTTTCTGACCGTCTATCTTCGTTGGCTACTTATATGCCATTCGGCGCTATTCTCTACGTCTCTCGTATGGTGTGATGGGATTTCCTCGTTTCCTACCTGCATGATTCGGTGCGGTGTTTATGCTTCTCTCTTGTATCTGTGTGCCTTTGCGCTTGCTCCATGTTTTACCTGTTGACTTTCACATGGAAAGAAAGCCAATATTGCCATGATCATTTCCTCCCTACTACTTTACTGTCTAGCATTGAAAACGAAGCAAAACATTGACAGGCATGGCCATTTTATCCCATCCCAGTGGTGTAGACTGTAGTCGGTCTATAGCATGCAAAGGCTGTTAATTTTAATAGATGTCAACCATAGAACTCAATCTAGTCTAGGCTATGACCTGTTTATCACCTGACAACAATAACAGTCTTCGTTTCGTCCTGTTACTCGTTATAAGTTACAGCAATCAGAATCTATCACGGCCGAACATCACGCTTACTTTACCCAACTTGTCATTCATCCCCATCTTCCATGCTACCGAGCAATGAACCATAGCCAGTAAACAATGGAGTGAAATGGCATAAACAAAAGATACTTACAGCCAGCTAGATGAGAAGATGACCTAAAATATGCAGAAAAGAAAATGAAGTAAAAAAAAAGAAAAGGACATGAAAGAAAATCGAAGCTATGGATGTATGTATATCTGACAGAAAAGAATATGACAAATGAGATGAAAAAAGAAAATAGATGAAGATGAAGAAAGAAAAGAAAGAAAAGGCCAATGAATGAATACGCCTTGCCGATGCAAAAAATGTTGTTCTGTGTGTGTTTGTCATGGACATACATCATGTAGGTTGGATGAGATACATGGTTCAAGGGTTAATGCTTCAAGCAAGTAGCGGTGTGTTTGTGGGTATGTGTCATTTGTTTGTCAGTTCGTCACATCCACGGACTCTAGAAGAAGAGGAGAATAGGAGGACGCGGAAGAGAAGTGAAGGGAGGTAGGAGGGTTGAAGAGATGGAAATAGGGCCGGAAGTCTAGACGGCACCCGTCATATGGTCCCCGCGCATGGAGTTTGGCTGGCGCTGCCAGGATCCATTTCCAGGAGCAGAGGGCGAAGGCCCGCTCGGGGGAGGCGCGTTTCGCACGGGCAGCGCTGCTGACTGTAGAGGCATTCGCGACTTCGTGTTGTGTGAGCTGGCGGAACGAGATCCCATCGGGTTCATGGGGGGTTCCAATCCGGAAGAGGGGCCCCCGACGGGAGTCCGTGAGGGACGACGGCCGGAGCGGTACTCATCTTCCAACGACAGATGCTCGAGAGAGATGGGAGGCGAGCGTGTTGACCGGGGTGGACGCGGGGATGGGTTGGCGGGGGCGTAGTTGTACTGGTACTGCGAGGGGCTGTTGCGGCCCACGCTGGAGGGAATGTCGCTGGGGGCGTACTGGGGAGTGCGCATCGGCTTGCTGCTGGGCTGCTGCTGGGGTTGAGGCTTCGGGGACGGAGTCGATCGCGCAGCTGGGGGCTCGTCCTTGAGCGACTTGGGCGGCGGGGGAGCCAGATACGACTTGCGGTTGTGTCGCTCCATCATGCTGATGGCCCATTCTTGGAGATCAACCGGCGTCCGCTTGGCGGCCTGCAGGAACGCATCCTTGTCCTAAATTGGCTGTTAGTCGGATCCGGCTCAAGACCGTAGTCCAAAAGCGGACAAAGGGTGAGACATACATAAAGCTCGCGAGGCGTGGGGCGTTCCTCGGACTTCTTGAGGAGACATTTGGCGACAAACTCGTGCAGGATGGGAGGGAAGGCGTCGCTCTTGGGCAACTTCGGAGCAGGCTCGTGCACAATCTGCTGCAGCAGATCCAGAATACCCATCGGACCGGCGCTGGCACGGTCGCCTGCTGAGGAGTCGGACGTGTCAAAGGGGAAGCGACCAACCGCCAATTCCATCACCGTCAACCCGACACTCCACACATCCGAGCGCACAGTGTACGCACCACCCTGGATACGCTCGGGGGCCATGTAGGTGGAGGTGCCGACGAACGTATCAGCGATCGAGTTGACTGTCTCAGTCGCAACGCCAAAGTCGCAGAGCTTGATGTTGCCGCGCGAGTTGACGAGGATGTTGGATGGCTTGATATCGCGATGCATGATACGATGAGCTTCGTACAGGTACACCAGACCGGCCAGGACCGACTCAGTGATTTTGCCCAACACGTCTACCCGCACGGGACCAAAGTCCTTGGATATGCGATCGAGCGAGCTATCATGCGAGGGTCCAGGTTAGCTTGGAACCAACAGAAGAAAAGGAAAGGCAGCGGCTCCCTTACCCGCAATCCATGTACTCCATACACAAGACAATATCTCTGGCTTCATTCTGGAAGGCACCATAGAAGGTGACAATGTGGGGGGAATTGCAGTCGTGTCCAACCTGGAGTTCCCGCAAGATCTGCTTTCTCACATTCTCCTTTGCGTCGACGCGGATTATCTAGGACGACGGGGTCAGCATACCTGCCGGGTCTACGGCAAAGCACGGACGACGAGGGTCTCCAGAAGGCACGCACCTTTCGAGCCATGACCACCTTCGTGGAGGCGTGCATGACCTTTGAGACCGTACCACCATTTCCAGCGCCCAGCTCCTTCAGGGTAACCAGATCCTCGCTACGCAGGTCAAGACGAAACTCGAGGCCGATCTCCAGAGTATCGGTGCGGTTGCTGTCGGTGTTCCCAATGGCGCCTGGAACCTGAGCATCGCCATCGGAATTATTGGAGGCGGGCTTCGGAGCTGCGTTCAGGGCAAGGCCTTTGACGTTCTTGCGCTTCAGCGTTCGCGCCTTGAATTGATCGGCCATGGTTGTATCACAGGAGCGATGTTGCGCACCGTGACTTGAGATAGAGGAAGAGACGGTGGGGGGTGAAGGAGGAATACAGCGACTGTATAGGAGACGAAGCAGTTCCAGGTAAAAAGTAACTGTCTCGCGAGTGAAATTATGGTGAAGATGCCCAGTGAATGGGTTTGCTAGTCAGCGAAACAGAATAAAAAAGTCGTCGAGTGTCCGACCGTTGGGCCAGCAGCGGCGGGGGAGTTATTGGTCACTGAGACACCGGACAAGCGCCGTGAGGTTCGGGAGAGAGCGCAGGTGGGGGGTGTTCTTTGGTGGTGGACTGAATCACCCCGGTTTGGTGGCGTTTGGCCGCTGAAATTTGTTGGAGGGTTCACCAGGGGATGGAGATGAGAGAGTGAGTGAATGCTCCTCAAACCGGCGACTTGAACCAGTGGGAAAGGATGATGATGGAGGGGAGGGCCGGAGTTGGTTTTGGCGTGCTTTTGGAGGAACGCCGTGAGGAGGAGAAAGTTGGGGCGGAGATCAAGTAGTGGAACCAGGCACGAAGTAGTTCGACAGGAGATC